TCACACTTTACTGCCAGGTGATACAGTGTCCACCTTTCGGTCTCCTTCACTCAGTATAGGACTGGGTGAAAAGACCTCTTCCAGGCAGACGATTTTCTGACAAATAATTTAGGCCTTATTCGTCGAAGGTACACACGTTGAATATGTATAGTAGAGAGCGGTGAACATAAAGGGATAAGAGTGAAACAGTAAAATGTGCACGGTAAGGGTACGTACGAACATTCCACCGCCATATGCAGTTCGTTTGTTACCAACAGAACAGGTGAGTTGCTCTGACAGTTGAAATTAATCAAACGAATCCAGGCCTACGAGCATTAAGCCCAGGTAATTTCTGCGGTAGCGAGCGCCGCTGAAGTGGACCTTATCTTATGTCACGACTCGAATTCATCTATCCACCAGATGCATTACGAGTGCGCACTTTGTAGGTTCCAGTTACGCTCCGTGTACGCTTTGAAATCAAGGTGCGTTCAGAACCTGTGGTTGTGTATCATTGATGCACACGTCAAAAAATTTGCGTGAACCCAGTGAGTTCATCTTGAATTACCAGTCACATACTACCATTACGCTCCTTTACCAGGCCATGGGCTGCAACAACCTGTGGTTGTCGAGCTTCTTCAGAGTTTTCTCGGATTTCGCAGCTACCACTGCCTATCCTCGTAAACGGTGTTAGAACGTCACATTGTGTGCTTAAACAGCTTACGGATGTCGTAAAGTGGTCCTTTTTCATCTAGAGTGACGCCACCGTGCAGAATTCTTCGAACACAAAACAATACATCTCGTACCCGGCGATAAGAAATCGAAAAATTCAACCGTGTTAACTTCTCCAAAATACGTTATATTTCTGAGCCTGTCCAAGCGTCACGCCCTCCTTAATGGTAAATAAGAATTCATCAGACCATTCATACTCCAAGAGATGTCTCATTCACACACTGGAAAGGGTGTAAAAGATATACGGTAACATCTAGTCAGATTATCTTCTATTGTCGAGATAGTTCAATGGTGAAGGCACTAACTTGGTGACCGAAATGTTTGTGTTTAGAACAAAATAGCGGCAACTCAGCTGCTCGTGCCTAAGCTTAGGTAACCTGGTAATATCTCAGCCTTTGTGCTTCTTTATGCTGGCATGGCAGCTCGGCTCTGAAATGGTCTCAAAAGGAGCGAGCATTGGCTATTATTACACCTCCTAAGTTGCACACGTAAGAATTGTAGCCGCCGTTCTCTAATCCTTTCCTTCAAAAGCTTCGAAGCCTACTGTGATCAAAACTCTGAAACCTGTCCCATGTAAATATCAGTAACAACATAACGTCTCAATTTTCAGGTGGGTTTAATTCTACGCAGCGCGCAGGAATGTAAAATGCACGCAATTCAAACCATGAAAAACTTTCGGCCACACAACCTGAGTAGTGACCTGAAGCAGAGGAAATTCTCAGGAAGAGAATTTAGCAGGACTTACCTTTCCGTAATTACTCAAAAATTCGAATTCCTAACACGGCGCACGAATTCACACCGCGCGTCAAGGTCGCCCACGGATTCACGGATTGCACATACACGGAGTCACGGGTTGATGCACAGGATCGAGACATTTGCCCAAGTTTCCCGGGTCGGTTTTGCTCTTGTCGGTCAGTGGCTGTCCTTCCCCTGAAAGGCACAAGTGACTAAAGGGTGTAGCACTGCCCTTTATGTTCGCAGCACGAGGCAGTATGCTTGCCAGCGCGAGGATTCGCATAAATAAATGTCTAATAATGCTTCAAACTGGGTTCTAGCAGGAGCGTGGACAACCGTCGGAGGAAGGTCATTCCACGCAGCTACTACCCGAAATGAGAAAAAATTTTGTCTGATGAATGTGTGTGCTCTGAGCCGTGTGTTTGCTGGGTCAACGGCAAAAAACCTGTTTGCCAAGGTTTTTTCAAACAGGGCATAAGTAAGAATTAGGTCACCTCGGAGGCGACGGTACTCCAGGGGAAAGAGATCAAGCATCGCGAGACGCGCTTCGTCCTGAGTAGACAACTTGTTTGGCGTACTCCAGGAGCGGTCTGACGTAGGTACCATAGAGTATTTGGAAGTCCATGCGAGTAACACGGGAGAAGGTGCGTCGGATCATCCGTAAAATGGCGAAGGCCTTTCTGACTGATGGTGCAGTGAGAAGGACTAGTTTGAGGAGGCCCAGGTGCCCAAATCCTTTTTGGCATCTATCCTCATGATGTTTTCTGGTCCTTTCTCACCATGCATAGAGGCATTCGCTGAGTCTCCTCGTGGGACCCTATCAACTGCTTTTGAGAAGTCGAAAAATATGGCATCCGATATGAGTCCTTCGTTTTTGGTTTGGGTTAAGCTGTTCATAAACACGAGCATGTTTGTCACACAAGAACGGTTTGGGACAAATCCGTGTTGGGCTGGAGACTTCACGTTACAGGAAGTAAGGTGATTTAGGATAGCTCGCTTGAGAATGCGTTCCATCACCTTGTACGGCACGCTAGTGAGGCTTATAGGCATGTGGCTGCCAGGCGATAGTCGGTCACCAGTTTTGTAGATTTTCGCGACACTCGCTTCCTTCTAAGCAGAAAGAAGGCGGCCTTCGTCAAGCGACTGACGGAACACTAGGTGTAAATGAGTTGCCAGTGTGGACGACGTTTCCTTCAGGATCCTTGGATGGACCTCACCGGGCTCCAACGCGCAGAATGGGTTGATCTTGTGCAAGGGTTGACGAATGTCCTCCACCGTAAAGACCAAGTCGGTTAGAGGCTGTTCGTCGTTCCGCCTTGACAAAAGTGGATGTGATGAGGACCCTGGGGCTTGGTGTTGACCCACATAGTGTTCTCTGTAAACCTCAGAGACCACTCTTGGGTCATTCGTCGGTTCTCGTTTTCTGTCCCTTAAGAAGGATGCGGATGGATTGGTTCTGCAGCGATGTCTCATGTATTTGAACAAGACGCTTTTGTTTTTTGCGCGACTTCCAGGATGGTGGCTTGTTCTCGTATGTTCCACTGGTGGGTTTCTGATTTACAGCGGTTCCGCATTTTACGAAATGCCAGCTCATCTACTTTTTGAAAAAAAGTTGGGGCCTTTTCTCCAGAAGTCGCCGAATCCTTCTTTGGCAGCTTGTGTTTAATCCGGGCCCGTGCTGGTTTTTTTTTGAGAGGAACGTCGCCTCAGCCTCGTTCACTTTCTGGACAATAGTCCCATATATTTGTTCCACCGGAGCTGGTCCCAGTGTGGCTTGTTCAAGAAAGATCCGCATTCCTGAGAATTCTGCACGGCAGAATTTCGAAACCACGTTTGGGGTTCGGGATTTCCGGCCCAATAGCAGATGAAGTCAAAGGTCAGCACACAGTAGTCGCTGTCCTAGTGGAGCGTTGATTTTTACCTGATCAACGAAGTATATTTCGTTGGTGACGACCAAATCCAGGGGCTGGTAATTGGCCTGCGCGGTATCTGGTGCGTGCATGCTGAGACCAAGCGCTCTGTTGAACTACTTCAATCAGCGCCGCTGCGAGGCTTTTGCCCAACATTCTCAACGCAGTTTTTCCTTTCCGTTCAGCGGCTGCCGTCCATCTGAAAGGTACAAGCGAAAAAGGAAGTGCAGCACTGCTCTTCAAGTTCTCAGAACGACGCAGTAAGCTTGCCAGCGTGAGGAATCACATAAAAAAGTATCTAATACTGCTTTGAACTCCGTGCTAAATTTAGCGTGGACAAACTTCGGAGGATGGCCATCCCACGTAACAACTACTAAAAATGAGGTAGTTTCGCCTAGTTAAAGTGTATAATTTCAGCTTGAAAATCTTACTGTGTCTGTGCCTTGCGTTGACTGGATCAGTGTTGAAAGAGCGGTCTGATATGAACGCCCCATACCACAGTGAGGTTCGCCTCTGCATCCCTGTGAAATGCCACCAGGCCTATTTGCCGATTCAACAGTTCTTTGTTCATTGCAGTGACAACATTTGGGATACACGAAATAACATACCGTCGGACTGGGTCGCTTGCATTCAGTATACCGAAACCAAGCATCTCGCGCTAGAGAAGTTTGCCAAGCTGTTGTCAACCTGATCTGGAGTTTCATATGCTGAACGGATACATTGTTGGATGAGAACGAGTTGACAAGGCAAATGCTTCGGGAAGACTCCATAAGAGTCCCCTCTTCATGAAGGGATGACGGAGTTCCGGTGGGAGGCCGGCACATTTTACTCTATTTGCTATAGATGTCGGCGTCTAATTATGAACAGTCCGGGGTGTCAGGTGGGTGTCTACGATAAATATACGCGCATGCATTATTCCTCCAGAAGGTCAACAGTTATGATAGTCACAACGCTGATCCGTGGATTAATCCAGTACATTTGTACTGAGGGTACGGATTTTCTCTACAGGTCATACACGACTGTGGTTCACTACACGTCCCGTTTACTGCAAGCACGCTGCTACTAAACGGTCTGTATCAATCACAGTGGTATGTGTACGCGTGCAGCTGCCAACTAGATAAAAGGCACTGGAGAGTGATTTTGGTCTGTTACACTGCTTCACTTCATCCACGGAGAACTGTGGCTACATCCAGAAGAACTATGGAATCAACCTGACGTGCGACTACGTCCATGCATTGCGCAGAAATCGTGACGCTGGAACAATTCTGATGTGATAATCAAGATGACTAAGCGGCTTCGCGCCTTTTTGAACCGATGGTCGTGCTTGTTTTATGGCGACGACAGCTAAGATATTCTCTGGTTAACCGATGTGAACTCAAATCAAACAAACGCCAAACAAAAATTTACTCTTCGTAATCTTTTGGACTGATGCAGAAAATAATACGGGAAAAAACGCAATGCATACAGATGGAACGAACCAAATAAACATCTCAAAGATTTCACAAGGTTAGGCAAATAATGCAACGCAAAGCAGGTCTAGATATAAGGATCTTCGTAAGCCTGAATGAATAAAGCTTAAACTACTTCTCGATAATTTGAAAAATGAAAACAGTTTGATGAAACGGAATTTGAAGGTAGCTTTTAATGCTAGCGGCCATTCTCTTCAGCAAGGAAGTGTTGGAATTCGTCATTCGCACTGTAGTTGCCGTTAAAACCATCGTATGTAAAATGAGGAAGGCGCGTGCAGTCCAGTGACTCGTTTGTCTGTAAAGTTGAAAGACTATAAAAGAAATATTTTCAACCATGGTGATTCCAAGAGCACATGCATGCCTTTCTCTTTCTATTCAAAAACTTGAATAAACCGACACGTTTTGTGTGGTTTTGTGAAGCTTAGCTTCATAAAGGAGGATAATCGATGTGCAAAATCCCGTAAAACTGTACAAAAACAGGCAAAATGACACAAAATGTAAGCTGAATCAACAGGACAAACGTGAAGGGCAGGTCAAAGGGCAACGTTTTTGATGAACAAGCAGGGCGTTAATATCAAAGCGGGTTCAGAAGGCAAAAAATTCGATAGCGTGTGATAGCAAATCTTGGACAAACATTCGTAAACGAAAACCATTGCGGTCGGTGAGACTGTGGGGAGTCCTTTGATGCTTCTCAAGCACAAACCTTTGTGGCAGTGCAAAAGATGTTTTTGAATAATCATTGTATTAAGGAGAGCAATTGAAAACTCAACTATGTCAGTCCACGTTTCGGACGAAAAATAGGAAAAAACGCAATTGCAAGCATAAGTGCTGTATACCGTATTGGGTACAAATCGAATACCTATGGCACGGTCTGGAAAGAAAATGGCTACAGCAGTAAAATGTGTAATGTAAAACTTTTGGTTTTCCTAGAACAAGCCAAAATGAAGCAACCACCCGGACAAGTAAGAAGCAAGGTTTGACTCAAATACGGTCGGATTTCGGAGTGAGAACATCTCCATCACCCTAACAGAGGTAAAAGAATTCTCACTCAAATGCCAAATATACAAGTGTTCGTCCAATCGGCTTCTTGCAGGTTTAACGGTGTACACATAATCCCCACTAATCTAGCCAAAGCAGAGACTTCAAAGAAAGAGTCGAAACTATTGAGGAAAGTGTCTTTAATGAAGGGAAAAATAAAAACCTTAGAGAGATGGAAAATAGCTGATGAACAATGGAACTGGTGAGGAAAAATATGGGTTTAAAAGTTGACACAGTTAGAGTTAACACAAACGGGGTGGTTCATAAGCAAGCACGCGAATTAGCATCTTGTCCGTTCATGGTGATTTGGTATTCACATAATTGCGCCATGTCTGACCAACAGTCAACGAAAAAACAAATTAGATCACTGAAATGTTACCTAAACGCCCCCAAGAGCGAAGAAACTTGCGACCGGTATAAATGTGTGTAAAAATACCAAAGACGACGTCATATAAGGCGGTACGAATTAGTGTCTGGAATGCCGCTTATTTTAGAGAACGCAAGCCCGTTTGGCTCAGATTGGATCCAAAAATTCAGAAAATACTTCGCTTGTGGTGAGTAAACCTCAGTATCTGAGGTAGAACGTAGAACGCATGAGCTATGTTGGAAGGTGATGTCATACAAATAGATGGATAAATCAGACAAAATATAGCTATGTTGCGTCGCTGAGAACAAGCCTGCAAGTGACTGTGGAATGGCAATCTAAAGAAGGAGATAAACTGAGCGCATGGTTGTTGAGGAACAGCACTAGTCGTTGTGGGAAACCACTCAGAATGAATTGCGTGAAAACTCAGGTCACAAAAGAGTGCTTGAGTATGTGGAAAACATTTATGCAAACAGCGTGACGTTTACTTGCACAAAGTAGTCCTGAATTATGGACTGGAAGCACGAGAGTCGGAACAACGTTTACGAATGGCCTAGTTGGCAAGACTCCCAAAATATCGTCCTCATACAAAACGGAACTGAGCGTTGACAAGCCGTGTAGCTATGAGTAGCAATTTTGGACTCAGCAACTATGGGAAGAATCTGTCACACCAAAGGAAACAGGAGTTGCATTTTTTGGCTAAAACACATCTCGATGAAATTGGATTGTTTCGGGGCGCCAATCTGCTTTAGATAGATGACTCTAAAACGAAAGCGTTCTGTCGCCAATTACGGTCTCGTGCTTTTTACAAAAGGAATAAAAATGCAAAATGTCCAGGAACGGAAATGTGGTAGCTAAATTATATCTTATTAAAAAGGCATACAGCATCATGCAAGTTTAGACGGAGATGCGCAAATGGTGACAGAATTTACATCGGAGCGCATGATAGGATTGATTAAGAAACATGATGTAAGTGGACAAATATCCGAACTATTACGACGTATGAAAGAAAAGGGGAATGTAAGGGAATGTAAGAAAAACCCATCTTCTTTTGGAATAAAAAAAGACTCTTTTTGGCGGACATGATTGCTACTAATTCCTCCAGGCGACAAGCTACGTTCACACGCGGTCAGCAGGCAAACGAGTGGCACGCTTCTTGGTCGTTATAACAAATTAGAGGATGGTACCATTAAAAAGGCAAGAAGCAAACTTATCACAAACAATGAATGGGCAAAATCTTATCCCTCGAGTATCCCGAGAGTAGCTAAAGGGTTCTGTTCTTCCGGGGCACCGACCATTACTCTGGTGTCATTACTCCGTCACCACAACGGATTCAGCAGGTTCAGTTAAGTCATATCGCGTCTAGCAATGTTGTCAAATGTACGTAGCTTGGGTGCGCTGCTTGGTTGTTGGTCCGTTCGCCGAGCTCGGGTGATAATAGGCGAACAAAAATCCTAGTCTGACGCAACGTTATGGTTGACGCCACATAGAGGTGCATTCTGTTTCGTTGTCTATATTCCACTCGGGACCAGATGGGCCTTTTTAAGCTGTAACTGACCAGCGCGAGGTGCCCTAGTGGTCGCAGCAACAGCAGCATCACAATATCGCAATTTTGCTGCAAGCGTGTTTGCATCAGTTTGTCCCAACGAAAATCCTTAAAGCACTTTGCACGTGGGAAAGTGTATTACATAAAATGAGACGTAGAATTGGAGCAGTAAAAAGGAGTGAGTACTCAGCAGCTACTCACTCCTACGCTACTTATGCGGGCTCAGCATGCAACAGGAAAAAACCGTGTCATTTATTGGACCTCGAATCATAGACCCCTGAACACCTACTCAGCCAACTGAACTCATGCAATTAAGTCCATCTCCCCACGGCGCTCTCAGCAATATGGAAGCCACCAATGTACTCTAGTTCCCACGTAGGACCGTGTTTCTCAACTCTTGGACCAAGCAATTCTTTTCAGCGCGTTGGGTCCATGTGAGGTCTATCCAAGGATCCTGAAGGTAATACTGCTCATACCGGCAAAGAATTTCTACCTGATGTTCCGTCATTCCCTCGACAAAGGCAAACTTACGTTGCATGGAAGCAACTGAGTTCCCGTCCAATCTACACATTTGGCGACCGCTTGTCGCCTGGCAGGTACGTGGACATTAACCTCGGCAACATAATGCGCAAAGTGGTGGAATTTATTTTGGAGCTCGTCAGGATAATCCACCTCAGGAACAACAGACAGATATTCCAAGCGCACCACGGATTCCTCCAAAATCGTTCCTGCCTGAAAAGAACAATCGTATTTATGGCCAGCTGAATATAGGCTATAGGTGAAGGACATATAGCGTTCGCCATATTTTTCGACGTCCCAAAAGCATTAAATCCTGTTCAATTCCTTCCTTTGCTCTGTGTTCGAGCAATATGGTGGTCCGGAAGAAGTTCTGCGGTAGCTCAGGGCGTTCTAACGAGACGGGATATTCCTTGTGAAACTAGGCTCAACAATGTATACTCCGGAAATGGTCCTCTTAGAAGTTCCTCAAGACTCCGATTTGGGACAGCCTCTGTTTCTGATCTACACGAACGATCCTCCAGATCTGCTTGAATGTTCATGTCTACTTTTTGTGGATGACTTTTCATCCTGGAGTTTTGAGACAAGTACCCTCCAAATGGATAAGGACGCTGTAAAACATCGGTCGTTGGACTGGCGCCTTCCTCGTAATGACGAAAACGGCTTCCATATGTCGTTCGGAGAAGACTCAGCGAATGCCTTTGCCATACTTGGTGAGGGAGGCAAGGACATAACCCTGGAATCCTCAATTCCGTTCATTATCGAACGCGTCGTGGGGTGCTTAAATCATTTCTAATGGAGAACCTCGGCCATCGAGGGGACCTGTTTGGACGACGTTTGTTTCGTGGATTTTTCACCACTAACCAATCAATACTTCCAGTCTCTCAGGGCACACTTTTATTGGGTAGACTTTATTCTCAGTTGGGGTAGTTGGTACGTGGAATAACCTTTCCTAAATGACAGAGTTCCACGCTGCATCTCGTACCCATTTTGAAGCACTTTGAAAAGGTGTTTTTACGCGAGTCATCGCGCTCGCAAACAAACTACCACGACGCGAGCTTCAAGGGCTGTGGTGCAGCCTTTTTTCGCTAGTTCCGTGCAAATGAAAACAAGTCGTTGAGCAAAAAGGACAAACCCAACTCGGGAAGCCGAGGCGAACGCCTCGATCGTGTGAAGCTATTCGTGAATCCGTGAATGAGAAAGGTTTGTTTATAAGAATTTGTTGAAGGCCAAGAGCACAAGCAACAGCGTCCTTTGATGAAGCGGTTAATTTGAACCAGCCAATGGCGACCGCAGTGCTCTACCCCATCTAATGGGCAACGCCCTTAAGCGAATCGCGTAGAAATGATTGAAGAATATTTCTCATGTGGTACAAGACATGCCAAACTGGAAAAACAACGGGAACTTTTGCGTAGAAAACAGAAGGAGAAGCATGCGCATCAAGTTCTGTCACTTCATGCGACATCCGAAAACGTCGAGCATCTGAAACGAGATTTACATAGTCGAGGAGCTCATAACAATGATAATAATCCTAGCAAACACACAAAGAACGATGCTTGGGCTCCTTTTGGTGAGTTAGTTTACGTACGTCAAACCATTCCGACCTTCTTTCAGGCAGACTGGTTGTAACCGAAGTGTAAACATTTTGTTTTGTTTCGACATAAGTGCGTTGAGTGGTTGTCAGCTGTGCTTCCAACTTGATCTGCGTTTTTCCTGTTGCATGTCGCTTCACACTTTGTGGTCGATCCACAGAGTAGAGAACGACCCATAGGAAGCTGTCTTCTTAAAGAGTATCGTGAAAGGCATGATGTTGGGGCGCGCTGTATTTGACCGTGAGCAAACACTGATCGTATCATTCTCATCATAAAGCTGCGTATTACCCGTAACCTTCAAATAAGCATGTGGGCGATGAAAATATGCTGCTCTACAGAAAGGCTATGTTGTCTGTAAACGGCACGTTTCCACTCACCTGCAATGCGGCTTGGAAGTGCCATTTTGCGTATGAATGCCACACACAGAGAATTGAAAATTATCACTAGTATTTTAGTGGTTAAACCTATCAAGGCTTTCAACGGCTCCAACAGACATCTGAAGCTCCTGCTTCGCGTCCCGCCACTTTTCAACTCTACTCTTATGGGCTCGGTGATATCTGCCCGAAGCCCGCCGCTCAAATGCGATGGGGAAACCTGAAGCGGATAGCGGGTTCTTCCGAATTCCATATGACATATTTTAAAGCGAAAGAACTCGTACACTCAACTTGTCCTCAGAGTCATTTGGATGTTTATGCGGGAAACCTATTCATTTTTCAGGCCCCAATCAGCCTCAACCTTTATCCTGCTACTAATCCTAGCTTCGAAAACTTCAAGAGGTGAATACAATTACAGCTCCTTAACTGCTGTCGGAGGCATTTTGTCCCGGTTAATTGCTTCCGTATCACACTAGATTTTGCTCCCGATACATTTCTAAATCAAATATTCGCTTCTGTGAGAATTGAGTTTCGTACGTATATCGGTATAACCAGACGAACTAGAGATCCAGAATTCAGCGAAGCGTAACAACCAGCACGTATGTATTCGAATTGGCGAATATGTACAACATATGGAATATTAAAACAAGAGAATAATGAATAGAGCAATGAATAGAGTATCAGTCATGTTAATCACATCCGCCACACCTTGAATGAGAGTGTGGATGTTTATAGTCCAGTGGTGGTCATGACCGCAACTTTTCGGATCTTCTCGGAATGGAAACTTCAGACTCTTCACAGGTTGTGTGTTCTTCAGATACGTTTTGTTCAGATACCATAAGATCGTCTACAAATGACTCATTAGTATTTGAAACAACAGGATTGCCGTTAACAGACTGACCTCTGGTATTGAACTCAACCTGGTCAATTTGTCTCCGATCACAAGAGAGATCATCCAGATCGGGAATTGTGACCATTCGTTTGCCATTTGATGAAAGTACTATTCCTGTTGCGGGTCGTAAATCATTACCCTTGAAAAATGTAACATCAGCCGTTTTGGCACAGTCAAGACTTGTACGTCAGTCATGTTCATCCCAGCTTCCTTGTCGGTGAAAGGTGTAAGCTATAAAGAATCAAGGAGGATGACTCATGATTGTCTTGAAATACCGGTCATAGTTTATGGAGTTCCAACAGTTTTGGTCTCCTAAATTTAGAACTGAGGGCCTGAGCCGCTTACCCAGGATAGATTCTGATGTGAGTAGTAGTCTAGGGAGCCGACGAAGAATGTTCCCTGAAGGTGCACACCGATAACCACATGCTGATGGTCGACTTCTGTGATGCCTTCCAGAATACAGTCCGTTATCGCAATAGCCCATTCCCCATATCGTTATTCGTGTCCATCATCCACACTGTATGGCTGTGGAACATTCCGTTTAGTCCAGGTATCCGTTTCACTCGACAGGTCTATTTAGTGTACATTGTTTTGATGCTGAGCAGCGTCGTCTCCGCAGTGTAGCAATAACCAAGCTTCTATGTCATCCTCGAATAACAAAAGGTTGGCCCCTGAAGGTCCTACTAGAACAAATTAGAAGTAATCGTAGAGTGAGTACGAAAAAGTGCATTTTACTTTGGCCGTTTCTTTTCTAAAGGGATTTACGACAACGACAATCCACCGGCGCCACGTATTTAGACTTGTTGACAAGAAACGATATTCGAACCAATCAACATCCAGAAGCAGCTCGTTCCACCATCATAATAGTAATCAATTGAAAGATCCGCTCACTTGTCGTACAATGGTTATGGCTGCCACAGTTTCGTTCACCCATGTTTGGGGAGGTTGGGTCGGTAGCTGCACATTGGAGGCGGGAGCTGACATAGTTGATGCGTATATGCATGATTGTCGGTGGACTTTTAAGTGGGGAGATTTTGAAGAGAGTTATGCATCGAAGGCAATCGCTTGGATGCGAGAGTGCTATTACAGGTGCGATTGTGCCATGTCTGACAATGTGTCTAATCAATGATGTGTCCCTTCTCGGGATCTCCACTCATGGAGACGGCACTGACCAGCCCGGCTGAGTTTGCCGGTAATGGCTTTCATACTTTTCGGCCTATTCATTTTTTGACCTCCTCTGACTCTTCATCCTTCGCGAGGTTGTGTGGAAAAAGCTCTTTGAGGAAGCCGATCGACTGGCTTACCGAGCACGTGGCCAAATCAGCGCAACCTATGCAGCGTGATCAGTTCATCTGTTGTGGGTGAGTTATTTCTTCCGCAAACCATTCAACAAACCCCAGCATTGTTGATCTGGTGTTCCCACCAGACTCTGACAATGCTCCGAGAACATCGATAGTCAAAAGGTGGAAAACTTTTGACGTCCTCGGCGTGAAGTGACAAGGTTTCTACCGATGCAATGAAATGGAGCGCACCGCAGCATTTTATCATCATTACGTAATAACAGGTTACTCATCAGGACCCGTGTCAAACATCCGTGATTGTATCAATCTCCCGTCCAACTCTACGTCACGCGCAGTTGAATTAACATCTAATGGTTCCATTTGGGCAGGCATGATGAATCGTTCCAATCGCGAAGCCAAAATGTGGTAATTAAGTTTCGTACGTATATCGGTATAACCAGACGACTTATTTATAGTTCAACCATTTTTCACTATAAGTATACTACTCACAATGGCCTTTTACTGCTCAATCCTCTAACTCTGCTTGAAATAGTCGTACCTACTTTTCCTGCTTGTACCTCATCAGTGTCATTGTTTCTTCCACTTCTTCACACTTCTTCGTACATTAGACCGTGTCGGCCCTGTCAATGTTGCTATTTCTGTGAATGTTCGCTAACAAATAATAGTAGTAATCGCCGTTACATTCTTTCGGTGCATAGCTGCTATGCCAACTTGAGGCCTTCTGTGATAGTGAACAGCCCTCCCTCTCCCCTCGTAAAAAAGGCTCAGTGACGTCCATTTTTTTCTCTCTGGGACCCACTTGTTACTTTCGATGAGAAGACGATAGGTATTGTGGTTAAAACCTACTCTATAAACATACATAAATTCAACGACGCATATCAGTCATTAAAAATGTTACACTAATTGTGTTCCTTTTGTCGCAATTCTCCTACAGTCAATTCTGGATGCCTATCCTTTGCAAAATCTGACAAATTTTCAACTGGTTCCTGAGATAAATAATTAGCAATTAGGCTAGTCAACATAATCTACCGAGAGGTTTGATAATCGGTCTGAAGGCCGAAGCACTAAGGAATAGAAATAGCCTCATCGTTTCAGGAAGTCTTGGTAAACAATCGGTGGCCCCATTTGTATCATCCCCCGATGCTCTATGGTTTTGTATAGGTGAAGTTTTGTGATTTATTCGTTCAAGCGACGTTGCCTGTTTATGGATAGCTTTTGGACCACCTAAGTTTAGAAGTTGTTGGCAAGGCAGCTGATCATCCCATATAAGGTTGATACACGGGTTTCATGGAGAAAAGTGCATTACTTCATTTGGAAAACCTGGTAGGAGGCTTGCTATCGTGCCTGCTCAGAGTATCTTTTGTTGTATTGCGTTCATAAGTGCTGTTGAATGCCTGCAGCCATACTAATCGGGGTACTCAACCATTCTAAGATTCCCAGGAGTTGATGCCCCCAACCTAATTACATAGCTACGATAACTGTAGCTGTCTTCCGTGGCACGAAGATTACTGGGGCCCTATTGTCCATTCCAGTATGTTAACAATGAAACATGGACCAAAGTACTAAGTACAGTTTCACCGTAGAATGTAAAAACATCGGAAGGGCTGCTAGGCACTGGAAGCCATGTCTTACAGATGGCGTTAAACTATTCTGCGCTTCTCAAGAAATTTCGAGCGTGATAAAGTCTGTGACAACCCAACTCATTAAATGGTTAGACCGTCCTTATCATTGTAGCTACTCGTAAGCACGTCTCGTCCAAGAAGTTACCAAAGTGCTTTGTTACTCACATTACACATGGCTGTACGAGGCATAATCGGCGTTGATTATAGTGTTTTGATGCCATTCGTTTGGTTGCAACGGAGTGTGATGTGGAGCTGTCAGCTTGAAGTTGGGTACGCTGTAATTGAGGGGTGCGTCAATCTATTTCAGTATGTCGCAAGTCAACCTAGATTTATCAGCATAATTCTTCTACACACCTACTGCCGGGGATATTAAAACACCTGTTCAATTCAGACGTCTCCTAGGCGAGGACGTGACTAATCACCGTTCTCAATGTTTTATGTTTAAGCTGTTTCCACAGCTTTTCGGATTCACTGGAAATTTTTTCTTGGTCGGACTTGCGCTTTGGCGTGCACAATACGACACACTCTTATGGCGGCCGACTTCTGTTCTCACCTAAATTATTCTGGTGATGCTATCTGGCTACTTTGAAAATATCAGAAATTTATTAAGATAAGGCGGTCCTATTCCAACTTTCAGTCCTTTCACTAACGACCCCTTCAGTGTGACCGATGTTTGCGTCCCTGGGTTTATCTTCTATTCCTTGGTGGCGGAATTATTTCCAAAACATGATGCAATCCACTCTACTTATTTTCAGCCTGCATTCGTGAACGGGACACACTCAGTAGCTATTTCATAAATCATGTACCGAGCCAAAGTTGGTCTCAGCTGCCTCTCGCTCACTAATGGATGGGAGAACAGGAAAGATAGGACTATAATTGTATGTAACGGTCTAATCGGTTCATTGGTATTGAAATGATGTAACTAACCAGTAAAGTAGAAAATTGTGTAGCTATGCAATACAGGCGATAGATTTGATGCAAGCGCACCATCATTACCCGTAGATATTTTGGATCCTGGTTTCCATTAAAGCGGCATTCATGAATTCGACAGTTTGTTGGTTGTAGTTTGTTGCTAGGTCATAGACTGTCCATTATTGGGTCTTTCTCATCCGGGTAAGACCGCCGTAAGCTAGACATCATCATTGTCAGCTGTAATAAACGCATACACGTCGTACAGTGGTTGTAGCTGCCGCAATTTCGTTCCCGCCTGCAATTCACAGCTATCTACTCGTAGGCTAGACAGCCGTTTAATATTCAAAATACTGACGGAACGAGCATAACTTACGGAACATGATAGGTTCGTTAGATACCTTTCACTCCATTCTTCTCTTGTTCCAGCATCTGGCTTGTAGTCCTTAACTCAAGAGGCTAACTCGTAAGGCAACAATCAGTGTGGATTTCTTGAACGCTCCAACACGGAGCCAGTGACGTATTAGTCCTGCCTGTCTGGAGAAGTAAGTAAGATTTCTATACCCTTGCTCTCAGCAGATGCCTTTGCGTTGGCATCGGATTCTAGAGAGGGTTAACTATTTTTCAAATAGACTCGTTGACTGCCCAACGACCAGTCGTTGGGCAATTGGAGTTTGCGGTTTTAGGTCTCGAATTTTCGTAACCCTGCTTTCCTTGGAAAAAGACAGCATTCTCTACTCAAATGGATGTATAAACTGTAATCACTTAGATGTAGCACCTTGCTGCTTTCATGCTTTTGTCATGCTATTTTTACTTTGCTCCCAGGTATTCACGCAATACTATTACGTGTATTATGTAGATTGCTAGTCTTTAGCTGTTCACTATTCGCTTTATGGACATGTTTTTGGTCCTTACAAGACGTAGGCTTTTCTTGTGTGGCCTACGGAATGACCACAGCAGTCAGGTCCAGGCACCACATCATGATCGCACTTACAGCAACAGTTGGTCAGTGTATTCGTCACCTGACCAGTAATTTTTAAACGTCTGATGTTTTGCCTTGTGATGTGTGACCGGTGAGACTTAACACTCGGGAACACGTACAAGCGGACACATAACAACGAGTTGAACGGTAAGACTGAACAGTTTGATTAAAGTGCTCACTCACGCAACTTCGAGGACATATAGTCTAATTAGACTGGATAGGAGGTAATGACAATACATAAGCCAGGCTTTTGAGTTGAGTATCTGATCAAGATTCTTCCGGATGGAGGTTCGTTACATCGCCGTCCATTACGGACTGAACGCAGCACTCAGTTTGTCAGTTGCTCTTGAAATTCGAACCTTCAGGTCAGGTATACTGTCATCCTTCATGCGCTGTCAGTTCTTGGCTTTTAGTATAGCATAGAATTAATATCACATAATATATAATCTTAAACAGATGTCCAAGTCTGTGGGAACATTTTCATGGCACTATTAACTACTCTGAGCTAGCCTTTCTGTTTTATACTCGCCTCGCTAAACCGGACCAACTTTCCTGTTTTTTTTTACAATAAAAGTAATGCAAAGGCAGAAGCAACTATACCTGTCGGTAGACCCGATGAACCTAATTTGCTGTGTGCTGCTTTATTGTATTTTCTAGCTCCGCCTTCAACGCTCAGTTGCCTACCTCACCTCCCCAAATCACTGGTGAACGAAACTGGTAGCGACAACCACCATACAACGAGTACGCGGTTCTTACAGCTGATAAGGAGGGGTTTTTTACAATGTCATTATGTCCTTAAACACTGACACACACTTGTGTCTCATCAACATATAAGTTCAGTAAGTTAAGTTAGTAAGTTAAATCAAGAATAAGTTGCTAGCCTGGTAATAGCCTCCAATGTAACTCGGCAAATCAAGTTTCGCAGTTGCTGTACTTTGTGACCAAAAGCTAACCTTCATTCCTTGTGAAGAACAGGGACTGAGATATTACAAAAGGGCACATGTTCACAACTTTCAAGAGGCGTCATGGGATAAACTACTGATGCAGTTAGCAGAACAATCAATTCAGCTGACATAATTTTTGGCCATTTACTCTGGGTCTACGACTATCGACGTAGTGTAACACTACATTTCGGTGTTTCTTCTTCAAAGTGGTTGGCCGTTTTCGGTCCCAAAGCTTTTCTCTTTTTTTCTGATAATTTTTATTTGGCGACGAAAGCCTCGTGGCGGAAAAGTTGTTTGTTGAGGAATTTCTTGACGAGGGATCGCTGTCGGAATCAAACGGACCGCTCATCCATGAGATGGCGCTCTCAACACTACCTGAAAATACTGAACAATGACCGGTATTGCAGTTCCTATGTATTTCACTCATTTGGATACCTGGTTTATATGAAAAATGAGTTCAAAAGAAGGTGTTATGTCTTGGGACCCCTTGATGATGCGTTTAGCGTTTATTTGATAGCAACCTGATTAGCATCTTCACATTTTCCGGAATCTGTCAGGTACCATTTGGGAGACGATTCTTCATATCGTTTTTCAGTACAGTACTCTATCCTTATAAGAGCTCGCCGAGCTTCGTGAAAATATCGTTGCATTCACGTTTTGTTGAAGGACCATTATGATCTGTATGTTGTTGGTGGGTAGGTGGTGTATAAATCTAGTCCCTTAGGATGATTTATCATTTAAAAGTCGGGTTATATTGCCAGTTTTCCTCTCCACACAAACTTGACACACTTAGTAGTCGGGAAACTGTTCTTTCTCGCGATATCTAGGAGACCAAACACACTGACGTGGTGTTTATTAACATTCAATATGTCAACAGTGTGCATCATTTTCTCTTCGCATTCTGGAGGTATACTTTCCTAAACAAAACCCGAATTCTTCCTCAGTTTGATGCATCTATTCCCCCATCCTCAACCAGGTTGCAATGGATACCGCCTTACGCTTATGCTTTTGTCCTAAAAGGGGGCAAGATGGCTCAAGTGGTTAGAGCACGGAGTTACTGACCGGAAGGTCCGTGGTTGGAACCCAACCTCTGCCTTTCGACTTCCCCTGTCTAGGCTTGGGCAACCTGGCAGTATCTCAGCCCCCGTGGTTCCTTCAGGTGGCATGGCAGCTAAGCTGAGCAATTTTTTTGTCCGCTCTTCAACAAAAGTTAGCGCCTCTGCCTCCCATCCGCTTCCTTGCTTTACGAAACACCTGTAAAGATTATGGATAAAGCGAAGTCAAACGACGTTAGACGGTAGAATGGCAAACTAAAAAAATCGTCTGACCGTAGCTCCCTTTCGGTGTTTAACTGCCATACCATCAGAAGGAAGCAAGATGTCTGAGATACTGCCCAAGCCTAGACAGTGGAATTCGAGAGACAGAGGTCGGGAACCAGAGATCTCGTGGCCAGTAAATTCGTGCTCGAACCACTCAGGCATCTTACCCCAAGAAACAAAAGCTTCCAGTCTATTAGGGAGCTGCTAATTTTGATGTTTTACCAAGCCGTTTGCCCGGGATTTCACTCCTCGGTTCCATTTGTCTGACTTTGGCGCGACTGGGTCCCACCTGTATGTGCCTGGAGACACTGAAAGTATGCTAGTAAGCATTATTTCGGTGGTATCCACACTATTGCACTCTGTTCGACACTCTCCGCATTCACCTCGGATAGTAGTTTTAGGTTACCATTAGACCACCGCTTCTCCCATTGTAAGCTTTATTTTTATGATTTCGCAAGGTTGTATTACAGCGAAGCGTCAATTTTCCACGCCGATATTACTAAAATGAACACCGCGGTTAAAGGAATACTTTTAAACTTATGCTCATTAGTTACGATGAGGACGGGAAAGCCTCAATCTCCACCCATCTGTGTTCATCACGTCTTTCCGTTCGTTGCTCCAAGTTGGCTACAAATGATCCATCTCATACTCTGATTTGCCGTCCGAATAGCCCAACGGCTTCTACAGTCTCTTGGGGTTTGCGAACTTTCAGGGTTGGAATACATGCCTCTAATTCATCTAGAAAAATGAGAAACCTTTCCTTTTCAAATTTCAACGGTCTTAATCCGACTGTTAACCAGGTTCAGTCAGTCTTCATCATGCAATGCATTTATTATTATTATTATTATTATTATTATTATTATTATTATTGCCAACTCCATTTTCGACGAATCCGATCGTTACTTTCGTTCCTTGATGTTCTGTTTGCCAAGCATATGACGGCCCACAGTCGTTTGATTTGGCTAACCCGGACGAACTTGATCGTGCTGAGGTTCAAGTCATCCGTGTAAGTAATTCGCTGCACGATGGCGATTGTCACCCACAAAGTTCGTCGGATCGACCGACTCCTTATACGGAATCCGAACTACTATCGTCCTCGTCGTCGAAAGAAGTCAACTCACCAGGCATCACTCGTTCCAGTACAATCATTTCGTCGCTAGATCAAGATACTCTGTTACTTTCGCCAAGTGAGTCTCGTTCAATCGTTAGTCTATCGGTTCGCTAGCGACTCTCGATAGACCGTGATACTAATGGGACATTTTCGCTTCCCGAAAGGGTCTTTGACTTCATTTGTTCACTCGTTTTGTGGTCGTAATGACAGTCATGCCTTCCCTGAAATCATATGACTAATCCTCGTTAGCACATCCATGTGGTGTAAATGGTTGCTTTCGCTTTTTCGGATTTGGCCACCAAATTCATAAGTGATTTTTCTGGCCTAATTTCACTTGTCTTTTCAGTGGTCAGTCGTTATATCCCTTGTGAGGCGGATAAGACCAACCCAGTTTTGAGGATACATATCGCTCCAAAAAATTTCCGATCCTATCAGTTGTTTCAGAAACCGGATACTTTCGAAAACCAGTGCTTAAAATCACACTTCATGCGTTTTCCTCAGTTCCGTGCTGAACGCTTTGCTGCTAGTCCACTTTCCAAATCAGAAGAGTTCACTTTTCTTATGCTTTCCCAGTTGCATGCTGCTTTTCGAAGCAACAGGAGTTTTTCGAATACATGTTATGTGTCTTGTAAGGTTGTAGGGTTTTTTAACCCTTATAACCTTATGTACCTGAACGCTAACACAGATCGAAATTGTGATGAATCCTAAGTACCCCCTACCTCTGCCTCCTGGATGTCGTGTTTGATGTGTCAGCAGTTTTTCTACGTAAGGAGTTAGTTTTTAAAAGCGCGTCAGCAATGCCGTCATTACCACCATGTTGCTCTTCTAAGAGACGAACCATACTATTTGCGTTATCAAGAACCAGTGGACACTCAGCTCCCGGTTTCACCCTCATTAGGGCGTATTAGGTAGGTGCGGTCCCGGCGGTTCCAACAACCATGTGTTCTATTTGAACACCAAATTGTACGTAAGTAGAAAACTACACTCATTTGCAAATTACTTCAGTGTTAATGAGGAAGTCAACTGAATTTCTCGTTTGTGATATTCTTCAACTGAATATGAAGCATAAAAGCTGCCTCATATTTCGGTTGGCACAATACTCGAAATATTCCAGTACATTTTCCCGGCTGTACACACTACTCATAATGTTGCTGAGAGCTGTTCGGCAGTTCACTACTATTTTTTGCCCTTTTTGGCTTCATATTCTCTCTCGTAGGCTAGTGGGATGTTCAGCCTCATGTTATGCACTTTTCAGCCGGGCTATATACATTTTTTCCACAATCACTTCACTTAGCTGCTGGCAACCAGGTGGTGGATAACTTTCTGCTCATACCAGCATCCTTCAGCACTGCACACAACTTGTTCTTTTGAGTACAGTTCGAAACCTCTTACCGGTTCGGTTACCTTCAGAAATCACTTTTCATACGCGAACTTTTTAAACGTTTACTTGAATAATCAAAGTTCGGTATAGTCCTCCTCTCTTTAGGAAAATCCGCTTCGAGAACACAGTTTCTGGGGTGCTGAATTATTTTCAATTACGATTTTCCCTCCATTATAAAAAGACTCTCAGAACCGAATAGGAAATTGATGGTTTTATCTTCACAATTAAATCATATTTTTTGGCCGACTGTCACTCAAGAGTTTTTATTACAAGTTCACCTGCTGCGCTAGTGTGACGTATTAGCGAGTTCTGTTTTACAAGTCCACTTTCGACTGTCGAGATGGCTCAGTGGTTAGAGCGCGAATTTAGTAACCGGAAGGTCCGTGGTTCGAAACCGACCTCTGCATCTCGACCCCCCAACCTAGGTTTGGGCAACACAGTCCTTGTACCTCCTTCGGGTGGCATGGCAGCTGGACGCCAGCTGGGCGCTGGTCACTGCCGTCTTCCTGGATGGGGACCCCGAGACGGGCCACATCAATGGCTAGAGACATTGTCAGATATGGCCCAGTCGCGCCCTCAATGGCGCTCGTGCATCCAAGCTATTGCCTTCAATGCATTGCTCCTTTTCCAACCCGCTCCCACTTGACAGCCCACTGACAGTGCTGGATTTATGCACCAATTTATCAGCTCCCGCCTGCAACGCGCAGCTACCTACCCCCCCCCCCAAAACCATCGGTGAATGAAACTGCGGCAGCTACAACCACTGTACGACGAGTACAGCTGACAATGATGATGATGATGATGACTTTTTTTGACTTAGCCGATAATCTATCCTTTGGTATGCACACAGAACCGTTCGTTTTAACTTTTGTCCACTTAATCTTCTGGTGGAAGGTATTGTGACCGAAGTATGGAGGATTAAGTAGTATTCCAGTACGTTGAGTGCTTTCTACAATCGTTATTGTTTTCGCCGCTTTTCCAAGAATACTTGATAAGTTAATGTCTTTGGTGGTTTTTGTTTGAGTTCAACCACCTGAACTAGGGGTAGGGTTGGCGAATCATAAATACGTGTGAATCCCAGCCTGACTCCTGAAGTTTTGTGTCGTAAGCACAGCTGATATACTAACCTATCATAATAATGAACAAGGTTTGACCTGATCGATAATTTAACCTTGGGTGCACATATACAGCACTTTTCTTCGGAACATTTCACGGTTAAAATTTAGGCCAAAGGTATTGCCGCTAGATTGTAACATGCAGCAATCGGCTTGTCGTCACCGCTTTTTGTCTAATAAAGATGTCAGGATATCATCAGATAGCTTATCTGGTTTCTAATTGTTCTTCCGTTCAGCTAGATAGAGAACCACTCATTTTTGTCGCCCTAGATGACGCCTTTAATGTAAGTTAACCATGTTTTGCTAGCAGGTTTGAATCACAGACAAACAAGAACATTCAGTTCAGATTGGATGGGAAATTCCTTCTTAACCTCACGTAAGCTGTCGCAAAACGCCTGGGTAAATACGAGATTTTACTGCCACAGTTCAGAACTCATGAATGAGAAAACAATCCCGTCAGAAAAACATCTTGGAATCTTTCGGATCTGTTTTCCTGAAGGTCCAATTACAGATTAGAGTGATTTTCAGACGAGATCACTTCCGGTCTGCCCCTGGACTGCGACATTTTTCTATGTATCATGTTATATTTATTCAGCATGACACCTGCATTGTGAATATGATAAGCTACTTAGCGTTTGACTTCATGCTTTGCATATTTTGAGTATTCTTAGCCCTATGAAAAATCGTGCTCTACACAAGAAAATTGTTTACGGAAGTTCCTTTTTTCATCAATAAATTTCGTCCCCTCAACTTCAGAGAGACAGAAAGGGTGAACTTTTACCCAAAGTTTTGAGGATTTTTCATGGGTACATAGGTGGACGTTTCGTTTCCTCCGAAATTCCTACTCTAAAGAGTGTCTAATCATAGGGATCCATTCGATGTGGTAAATCTGTGCAGTTTTGTCGCTTCCACGTCACTACTAGCGAGTAACTTTAATGACGCTTTTCTAATTGCAAATAAGGATGTTTTTAGTAACAGTGCAAACAGCTAGTTATTTGGATGCAGGGAAATTTCAAGTTACAGTGTGTTGCTTCATCGATTATTCCGGCCTCATTGTCCTTTGTTCTGTGCTGGGAATTCAACCACGTTCAATGAATGGTGCTCTGTGCATATTCTGAACCAGTTACTGTTCTGATCGATTTAACTCAGTTCAAGAGCGGCCATCTGATGTGATGCGATAGTGCTCCAGCGCCGCTTATGATCTTGACTACTTACATTCGGCTGCCAACCGGAAAGTCCGCATCTTTGATATACGGCATTTCCTATCCGTTCTAGAAGGTTGTTTCCTTGATGGGCGATTACAGTGCCTGAATATTCGAATGGTACGCATTGTTGTTTCCTTGCTGAGGGTGTTTCCTCCGGGTGAGAATACCGTGCTTGATCTCCAAATATAAGCCTTGCTGGAGACGATGTTGTGTTGAAAATAGGAAACGCTGACCGAATCCAACAGCTGGTAACTTGAAAAAAAAACCAATGGTAGTACTCTGTGGATGCTTTAAGTAACTCACAAATCTTGTGTGGGATCGACGAAAGAGTTAACATCCATCAGCAACTAACACTCACAGAAGGACAACAGGAAGTATAGAATTCAGCTCGGTAGGAAGCAACAGTCGGGTAGTGAACATATTGTGAGGACAGGACGTCACCAAGCGCTCCATGTGAAATCCTGTGTCGTGAAACAAGTGGTTTTTGCGGTTAACCTCACCAAACTTCAATGAATTCCTTCACTGGTGGTCTGAAAGTTTTGAAGAGGTCCGTTCCGACATCCGTCATTTTGTTCTGTCACACTTCCTCTCAGATACCTGACGCCGAGCCATTTCTATCATGATTTTGCGAATTCTGGGCTGACAATGGCTGCGGGGCTGATTCGGAGGCTCAATAATGTGCATATGAATATATTAGTACTTCTTGCGTACGCAACATTTTAAGACAAATTTTCTATGCAGGTTGAGGGACCCTTGACTGAAAAAGCTCGTCCCATATTGGTAGACGCTGGTGAAGTGGCTATAACCCAGTGTTTGTTCTTGAGTTAAGATGTCTTTCTGGTCACGTGGTGGCCCAGTTGCGTTGGCTTTTGCTACGGGGAAAGTGGTGTTTGTTCTCGAGTTAAGATGTCTTTCTGGACGCGAACAGTATAGATGGTCACGTGGTGGCCGAGTTGCGTTGGCTTTTGCTACGGGGAAAGTGATAAACTTATTCTGAATAGGTCACAATGGAAATTGAATAGGACGGGTCAAAGCTAGCCAGTGTAGGTAGACTGTCACTGCATGGAGCAAAACTGTGGAAGCGTTTCACCGAATGATTCGATTCACTTTTGCATCCGGCCTACAGCTCTCCATGAAAATGGCAGATGAGCGCACGGTTGAAAAGTATGGGAAATCCTTACTCTAACTGGTGATGCGATCAGGTCGTGGGAACTTTAGGGTAGCAACCCGAGACCAGAGCAGATAAAGACTGAATTTGAATCCTTTGGAAGTTGGCGATCTCATTGATGGTATCTCTTGACGTGTGTTTACGCACGCTCAGAAGGAATCAGGTTAAACAGTATCAGGAAGGTCAGCTGCCAGAATGCCTGAAGCT